ATCAACAGGTTCTGAGGAGGACCATCAACAGGTTCTGAGTGGAGGACCATCAACAGGTTCTGAGTGGAGGACCATCAACAGGTTCTGAGGAGGACCATCAACAGGTTCTGAGGAGGACCATCAACAGGTTCTGAGGAGGACCATCAACAGGTTTTGAGTGGAGGACCATCAACAGGTTCTGAGGAGGACCATCAACAGGTTCTGAGGAGGACCATCAACAAGTTCTGAGTGGAGGACCATCAACAGGTTCTGAGGAGGACCATCAACAGGTTCTGAGGAGGACCATCAACAGGTTCTGAGTGGAGGACCATCAACAGGTTCTGAGGAGGACCATCAACAGGTTCTGAGGAGGACCATCAACAGGTTCTGAGGAGGACCATCAACAGGTTCTGAGGAGGACCATCAACAGGTTCTGAGTGGAGGACCATCAACAGGTTCTGAGGAGGACCATCAACAGGTTCTGAGGAGGACCATCAACAGGTTCTGAGGAGGACCATCAACAGGTTCTGAGGAGGACCATCAACAGGTTCTGAGTGGAGGACCATCAACAGGTTCTGAGGAGGACCATCAACAGGTTCTGAGGAGGACCATCAACAGGTTCTGAGGAGGACCATCAACAGGTTCTGAGGAGGACCATCAACAGGTTCTGAGTGGAGGACCATCAACAGGTTCTGAGGAGGACCATCAACAGGTTCTGAGGAGGACCATCAACAGGTTCTGAGTGGAGGACCTCAGGCTCCTGTTGGAGACTTAAGGGTGGATCAGGCCCTGGATGTATTCAGGCGCCTGACCATTAATTTGCAGTTTGTTCGCTGTGTCCCGATATTTCTCAAAAACTGTTTAATTGCAACTGTTAAAATAATAGACTTTTGTTTGTGCCTATAATGGTGCCAAAAACACGGTAATGATATTTTAGAATTCATATGTGCACATTTATATATACATGCTTTAGACAGAGCAGTCTCTCAGTCGATTGTTCACGCTTCGTCCCGCCCTGTCACGGCTCAGATGAATGTGCAGCCGCCTGTTAGCTACGCCTTTTTACGCACTGGAGTTGATGGTTCCATTGCTGCTGCCAAAAGTGCTCTTACATAAAACAGTTGCACCCCGCCTGTACCCCACGTGTACGCCTGCGTGTACCCCGCGTGTACCCCACGTGTACCCTGCGTGTACGACCTCAACTTCACAACGCCTTTGGAAGCTGACCCAAAGTGATCTACAGGCTGAGCCCAGAGGACGCTAAACGTGTCCAGATTTTCAATACAAGTTGCATTCTTTCTCATGCAGGCCTCAAATGTTTTCTCTATTGTTTGGTATTTGAAAGCATTGTTTATGAGTTGGAAAAGGAAATATAATATCCTGTCAAAGGCTGTGACTGTAGATTCAGCCAATAATGTTTGAGTTATTCTTTACCGATCGATGAACCCGTTAATCTGTAGATGAGGGTATATGAAAGAAATTCATTGGATGTTCTATTGCACTGCAAAAAGTGAGGAAAAATAAGTCAAAAGAAATTCAAATTTAGCTAAATGTGTCTTAATTTGAGCATGTTTTGATTGCCTTAAAAACAAGATTTGCCAATGGGAACAGAAATATTATCTTGTTTTTGGTCCCGAGAAACAAAGAGAGACCGTCATTTGTCACCTTCAGTCTCTCTCCCTAAGGCCTTTAAATAAGGTCAGAAATCTGGGAGTAATAATGGACTCTGACTTAAACTTCAATAGCCACATTGGATTGGTAACATCAGCAGCTTTTTATCATCTGAAAAATATTGCCAAAATTAAAAATATTGTGTCCAGGGCAGACTTGGAGATTCTTATCCATTCTTTTGTTTCCAGTAGGCTGGATTACTGCAATGGCCTGCTCACAGGTATCTCCAAACATGCAGTAAAACAGCTGCAGTATATTCAAAATGCTGCAGCCCGAGTCCTGACTAGAACCAGGAAGTACGACCACATTAGTCCGGTCCTCAGGTCTCTGCACTGGCTTCCCGTGGCCCAGAGGATAGACTTTAAAGCAGCTCTCCTGGTGTACAAGTCTCTCCATGGCCTTGCACCAAAGTACATCCATGATATGCTAGTCCCATATGAACCAGCCCGGACTCTGAGGAGCGCAGGGACGGAACTCCTGTTAGTGCCCAGAGTCAGGACTAGACAGGGGGAGGCTGCTTTTCAGATTTATGCAGCTAAAGTCTGGAACAGTCTTCCTGAGGATGTGAGACTGGCTGCCTCTCTGTCAATGTTCAAATCCATGTTAAAGACTTTTCTTTTTTCCTGTGCATACAACTAAAGAATTTTATCTTTTTAACACACCTTGTTATTTATTGTTGTAACTTTTTGTGTTTTTAACTATTTTATTGTTTTTAATTACTTGTGTGATTCTTATGTTTTTAAATTACTTATGTGATTTTAATGCTTTTTAATTACATATGTGTTTTTAATTGTATTTTAATGGTGATGATTTGTGCATTGTGTGGTGTGGACTGTGAGGCGCTTTGTGTTGCCCTGTGCAGGAAAAGCGCCCTATAAATAAAGATTGATTGATTGATTGATTGAAAAGATGCAAGAAATGTCTGCCTTGGAATGAGACTCAAGGCTTGTTCCATTGGCAAATCTTGTCAGAGTGAACAAAAATACTCGTTTCAAGCAATTACCACCTCTTATTTTTTATAATTTTTTTTGTGTGTCAACGCGCAATTGTGCTTGAAAGTCCACATCCTGGAATTATGTTTTTTCTTATTTCTGGGAATGTTTTGTTAGTAGTTTTGTAAAGCCATACTTTATTAATGTTTTTCAAATGATGATGGAAACTCCACTTCTGACCTTGATTACAAGTCTCCATCCCCTAGTTCTCGACAGCATATTTACCTCGTTAACATCTATGACAGCTTGAAGTCGAATAGTTGTGGATGAGGTTCATTATCGTCTGTTTTTTTATTTTATTTTGTTAAGCACAAAATCCTTTTCAAGCACATTTGGTTGCAGCGCAGAGCCAAAGAATATTCTGGAGGTTCCCCATGGGCACCAAAAATGAACCCAAGATTCATTGATTCGAGAGTATGTAAAATAAGCCAATACGATTTTGACAATCAGACACCAACACAAGTGCAACTTTCACATCTGGTGATTAAAGTCATTGTTTACTCAACTTATATCCATGTATGCATCAAACCATTTCACTTTAAGGAGACATATTATGCAAAAGATACTCTCTTTTTTTAGATTTTAACCATGTTCAATTATTGTTCCTCATTAGACACAGACTTGGAGTTGTTTTGGCACTTCTGGTATAAATACAGTATGTAACTTTGCCATCCATCCATTTTCTTCCCCTTAATCCATTTCTGGGTCAGGGGGGTGGCCAGTGATGCCACAGAGCCCCAGCCCCTCACTGATCCTCCTGCAGGTGCTGAGTCCACAGGAGGACGGCTGCTCTATGGCACAGACTTGATCTTTCAGTGGGGGCTTCAGGCAAAGTGGGGTTAAGTGTCTTTCCCAAGGTCACAATGGTAGCAGACATCAGTGGGAGTAGGTGAAGAAGGTCTCGTGGTGGGCTCGAACCCACACCCTTCAGGATCAATGCTCTACCAACTGAGCCACTGAACTTCCCTGCCCACATCTATTTTGTCTAAAATGTACAAATACATTTCAGCGTTTGCAATTGGTAATGTTTTTATTGAAAAAATCCACTCCTTCCTCTTATGGCAGCATTGGAAGGCACAGATGGAACAGATTGTTTACCCGTGATACTTGTTTGGCCATATACTTTCAACTGAGGATAAAATATTTAAAAATGTTTAGACTTGTCATTATTTTAATGACCAACGATAATGCATGATACTTCTTCTTTAACCCGACATGCTTTCGACGCCGTCATCTACACTTCTCTCATTATTCTCTGCTGCTTTAACCTTTCTTTCTGCAGCACAAGCCCAACCCTTCTGTCCTGAAGTCAATTTCATGGGACATACTTGCTGTCAGAACCAATCAGCGCCGTTTGGAAAGGTCCGTTTTGCTCGAGTGCTATTAAACGCTGGTCAGAGAAAGAGGTTTTAATGTGTTTGAGGCAAAAGCAGCTGCGAACGCTCCAAGAGTCAAGCTCTGCTGTTTGGACGACAGCAGAGCGTGGAGGAAGTTGAAAAGAGCAAAGAGAGACAGGAAAAGCCCAGTGAAAGATGTGAATAAATATAAGTTAATATAAGTCTGGTAAAACACTCCAAGAGACTAATTGTGGAACAGGAAGCAATGGATTACAGAGAATATATTGATCATTGGAAACTTCATGAATAGGAGACTTTGTGGGAGTTCTGCGATCGGAAAAAATATTGTAGACGTGGGAAAAACTCCAAGAAGTAATGTGTTTAAGAATTATGTAATGTGAAACTGAATATGAACACGGGAAGCTGTCAAATAAGGAAGCTGTAGTGATGGTTTGTAAAAGTGTGGTTGTTGTGGAGTTAGTGCGACGCTAAACTAATGTCAGAATGTTTTTATAATCGTTTAAGACCACGAATGTGCCTGATCCTGTCTGATCTCAGAAGCTAAGCAGGGCAGGGCCTGGTTATTACTGTGATAGGAGACCTTTGTAACAGCAGTAGGACAGCAGTACGGTGGCTATAAAGTGCCATTGTACCCTTTGGCAAGACACTTCACCCCCATTACACAGTATGAGTCGTGTGTGTGTGTGTGTGTGTGTGTGTGTGTGTGTGTGTGTGTTAATGATTGGTGGGGGTTGGAGAAGGCTCAGATTGGCAGTCTGTCTCTGGGCAGCTGTGACCGTCGTAGTTTGTCACCATCATGTGTGGGATGAATGAATAATACTGTGAAAGGGTCTCCAGAATATATTTAAAAAAATATTATTATTAAATCCAATCCTAGAAAGACACAATTTCTCCTAAGAACACGGCAAAGTTGTTCTCAGCGTTTGGAGATGGACTGTGACATGATTGGCCTAATGACCCCCAGATGACAGCGGCTGAGTGAGCAGTGAATGTGCGATGACTAACCACCACTCAACCCACAGTAAAGACCCACATCTCCAGCCAAACAACAGTCACAAACAACAGTCACAGCCCTGACGCCTGAGCTCCAGCCCTGAGGCCTGAGCTCCAGCCCTGAGGCCTGAGCTCCAGCCCTGACGCCTGAGCTCCAGCCCTGACGCCTGAGCTCCAGCCCTGAGGCCTGAGCTCCAGCCCTGAGGCCTGAGCTCCAGCCCTGACGCCTGAGCTCCAGCCCTGACGCCTGAGCTCCAGCCCTGATGCCTGAGCTCCAGCCCTGAGGCCTCTGATGCCTGAGCTCCAGCCCTGATGCCTGAGCTCCAGCCCTGACACCTGAGCTCCAGCCCTGACGCCTGAGCTCCAGCCCTGATGCCTGAGCTCCAGCCCTGAGGCCTCTGATGCCTGAGCTCCAGCCCTGATGCCTGAGCTCCAGCCCTGAGGCCTCTGATGCCTGAGCTCCAGCCCTGACGCCTGAGCTCCAGCCCTGACGCCTGAGCTCCAGCCCTGACGCCTGAGCTCCAGCCCTGATGCCTGAGCTCCAGCCCTGAGGCCTCTGATGCCTGAGCTCCAGCCCTGACGCCTGAGCTCCAGCCCTGACGCCTGAGCTCCAGCCCTGACGCCTGAGCTCCAGCCCTGACGCCTGAGCTCCAGCCCTGATGCCTGAGCTCCAGCCCTGACGCCTGAGCTCCAGCCCTGATGCCTCTGATGCCTGCAGACCAGCGTGTGTCATGTGTTGGTCATGGGAGCCCACATCCTCCAACCAAGTCTTACCAAACTCTGCACGGTTACGGTCAAGACAACCCGTAAACAGGAAGTTCTAACCAAATATTGAGTTTACCAAGGGCTTCTCTGTGGAAGGATCAACCACCCATTTTATACGTGTTACATGGTGGAAAGGAAGGCGGACCCAAAATTCAATACTGCAAAAAACACAATTTAATAACCAAGAATCCAAAAATCAAAAACTGTATAAACACAGGAACTGAAGACGAACCAAGAACAAACAATCAATGGACTGACAACAAGAGTGAAAGAGCACAAGGAATTTAACTGAGAGACACAGGTGAAACAAATCAGGGCAGGGTAGGCAATCAACAGAACAGGAAGTAAAACTCTAAAAAGACACAGGGGAACAGAATTACAAAATAAAACAGGAACCAAAAGTGACAACCATGACAGTACCCCCCTTCCAAGGGACAGCTTCCATGATGTCCCAAAGAACGAGTCCAGGATTGTGGAGGAGGGAAGCCAAAGGATTCCTGCTGTGGTTGCAAAACAGGCGGCACATTAGCAATCCAGTCCAGTGTTGACCTCCCACAAGGCCAGGGGAACAAGGGACCACCCCGAACGGAAAACCATGATCGGCAATGGCTCAGAGACATGAAGGAGGACAGAAGAGCTCCCCAGACGGAGATCTAGGTCTGGCGGAGGCTCCAGGGAAGGTGTAGTGGGAGGTCCCCATGGGCAGAAGGCATGGGTGAAACAAACCACCTGGTATCTATGGCAGACAGATACGTGGCTACTTCTGGTAGTCTCAAAGACTAGTTGGTGTCAAGCTGGAGCCCGATGTTGACCACAAACAAGGGTCTAGGAAACAGGACCATCCCGGGCGGAAATCAATGTCCGGCGATGGCTCAAACACGGAGACAGGACCACCCCAGACTGAGAAACTTGCCTGGCGGTGGCTTCAGGAAACAGAGGGTCAGCACCGGGCAGCAGACTCACAAGGCACTAGTGAACCAAGGACCAGGTTTAGAAAAAAAATATAAAAATAAAATGCAGTATGATGAGTCCAGGTGTGGTCAGTCCATTCTGTTACATGGTGGAAAGGAAGGCGGACCCAAAATTCAATACTGCAAAAAACACAATTTAATAACCAAGAATCCAAAAATCAAAAACTGTATAAACACAGGAACTGAAGACGAACCAAGAACAAACAATCAATGGACTGACAACAAGAGTGAAAGAGCACAAGGAATTTAACTGAGAGACACAGGTGAAACAAATCAGGGCAGGGTAGGCAATCAACAGAACAGGAAGTAAAACTCTAAAAAGACACAGGGGAACAGAATTACAAAATAAAACAGGAACCAAAAGTGACAACCATGACAATACGGGCCTATTACTTTTTTCATATGGAAAGAAATTCTCCAGTTATAGAAGACGTCAGGTTTCACCAGCAGAGAAAGAGTGATAAAACCAAATAAGAACTAACATAACTATTTTAGTTTTTTGTGTAAACAAAAATGTATTCTGTAATAGGGTATAAAAAGGCCACAAAAGGCAAAAAGGACATTCAAGAATAATCTGGTGATGCTGAGTGGGATTAGGATTAAATAGATTTTCTTTTTCCTCCTTTCAAACATATTTTGTAAATCAAAATATGTTGTGTTTGTTTTAACAAATGGAAAATATATGGCATGTAATGTATGATGTTGTGCATGTTCAAAATATAGAATAAATCAATCAGTCAGACTAAAGAAGCTAAGCAGGACAGGGCCCGGTTAGTACAATGATAGGAGACCTCTGGGAACAGTATGTGCCACAGTGGGGCGGCTGTGGCTGTAAATTGCCAAACCGTTGTGATTTTAGGCAAGACACTTCCCCCACATCGTCTCGTATGAGTCTGTGGTCAGTCTCCTTCACTCGCTGCAGTGAAAGAATAATGTCATGTGAAGCATCCTTTTTGTTGATTAAAGCTGTATGCAGTTGTTTATTATGTATTTGCAAAAAAAAAACTTGAGAATAAGAAAACGTAAACACAAAAAGTTCCTACATTTTTACTGATATTAAATTTTTTGGAGTTTGAATGATTAACGATCATTTGAAAACACCCATTATCCACAAGCGCGGTTATTGTCTGTAATTGCTGTTGTAATGGGATCTCAGCGCTCCTGTCAGTGTGAGGCGGGAGCAGTCTTTGTTGCTGCAGCTGTGTCCCCCGCACCCTGTCCCGGGTCCTGTCCCGGGTCCTGTCCCGGGTCCTGTCCCGGGTCCTGTCCCGGGTCCTGTCCCGGGTCCTGTCCCGGGTCCTGTCCCGGGTCCTGTCCCGGGTCCTGTCCCGGGGCCTGTCCCGGGTCCTGTCCCGGGTCCTGTCCCGGGTCCTGTCCCGGGTCCTGTCCCGGGTCCTGTCCCGGGTCCTGTCCCGGGTCCTGTCCCGGGTCCTGTCGCGGGTCCTGTCCCGGGTCCTGTCCCGGGTCCTGTCCTGGGTCCTGTCCCGGGTCCTGTCCTGGGTCCTGTCCTGGGTCCTGTCCTGGGTCCTGTCCTGGGTCCTGTCCTGGGTCCTGTCCTGTGTCCTGTCCTGGGTCCTGTCCTGGGTCCTGTCCTGGGTCCTGTCCCGGGTCCTGTCCCGGGTCCTGTCCTGGGTCCTGTCCTGGGTCCTGTCCTGGGTCCTGTCCTGGGTTCTGTCCTGTGTCCTGTCCTGTGTCCTGTCCTGGGTCCTGTCCTGGGTCCTGTCCTGGTATATCCTCTGCTCTCAGATGAGTGAGCCGCTCTTCTCCTGCAGACACAGCTTCATCACCATCTCCTCGGCCTCTCCGGGACTCTGCTTTTCGTGGACGATCGGATGACAGCAGCTCGGTCTTATCACTGAGCCCAATCAAACAGTCCATTGTCTCCTCGGCCTCTCCGCTTTCCCCTTAGAACCGCTGTCACAAGCATCAGTCCTCACCGGCATTGGACATTTGGGACCTGTGTGTTTTCTAAACGTTTGCAATAAAATATACATTTAAAGATGTTATAATGTAGAATTGTCTTAATTCTGGTGTTGTTTTCATCCTCATCCTCGCTAATATGAGGAGGAGACATACAGGTGGGCTTGAAGGTTTACACCCCCAGCCAGAGATGTCATTGTTGCGACTATGTTCATGCAAGGCGGCCTAGGAATTTACATAAACTGAAGGCTCTTTGCCAAGAAGAATGGGAAACTTTACCATCAGAGAGGATAAAGAACCTCATCCACCCAATGAATCCATCTAACCTCAGCTTACACTCAACAGTTTGGTTCTTCCACTAGTTTCACATCCATGTGTTTTTAGTCTGTGTCACAGTCAAAGAGTGAATGTGGAAAAGTATGTCAAATATTATACCGTATTTTCCCAAAGAATGAAGGCAGCATGCTATAACCTGATTTGTTCACAAACGTTTACAAGACTTTCTGTTGATTATTCCAGAAACAAAAGGTGCAGCTCTAACATGCTTCACGCTGTTATACCCATTTTGACTGCGAGGACTGCTGCTGAAATCTATTTTTCTGCAAAATCATGCCCAGTATCTGCTCTTGACAATCACAATGAAGACACGAAAGCTTCAGTTCTCATGCAAACCACTAATTAACCAGTAGAAAACAGGTCAGGAGGTCACATTATACCACATCAAATCCTCACCGGAACATCGCGAGCATTTCAAATGTGGGTCTGTCCTTGCGTCCTCATGCTTGACCTGATGTGCCTTATCAGCCTGTCCCGGTGCAACCTGACCTGGCCCCCTCGGCTCTGACCTGGGGCCTGATCAGAAGGATACCTACCACAGTGCACCAGGGACACACATACACTGGTCACTCAGCACTGACCGTCCATCTGCTCCTCATCTCCTCAGGGATTTAAGAGCTGTCAGGGGAGTTACAGTTGTGCTGAAAAGTTTAACCATAGAGGCCGAATTGTTGATTTCATTGTGCATATTTTGGAGATGATGATGTATACACTTTTTCACACTTTGTTCATGGTTTTTTGACGCTGTTAGTTGTCAAAAAAGTTGTCAATGATCAAGGTTAGAGGTAAGAAACTCCTCCTAGTCTCCCATCCCCCAGTTTTCAATAGCCTGTACTGCGACTTTAACGTCAATGACAGCTTGCAATCTTTTGTGGTGGTTGTGGGGTTCTTTAAATTCCTGGGTCTCCAACCTTTTTACATCTGAGAGCTACTTTTATACAACAGAAGAGGCAGAGAGCTGCTCATTTCTGCAGTCGTAATTAAGATCTATGTGATAATTACGACAAAACATGGAGAACAAATGTAAATAATACTGTATAACCCATATATAAGTCCATTATAAGTTTATACATTTATACAACATGGAATTACTCAAAATGTATTCATTCAGGGTTACATTCTAAATCCTTTGGGGAGCTACCTGAAAGGGGCTGGCGAGCTACAGGTTGGAGACCACTGAACTACACATTTGAGATCTCCTCACAGCGGCTCAATGATATAATTTCTTCAACAACAAATGGCCTCACACAAGCACAACAACAAGGGGGCGTGGTTAAATATGTGTGTATCATTTATCATCTAAAAATATGGCTAAATATGGCTGACATGTCTGCCTAGTTTCTGTTGTCATTATCATTTGGAAAGAGAACACATTTTAATGGCTAAAGTGAAAATAATTTGAATGTTAAGATCCTTCATAATCTTCTAAATATGGCTCAAAAAAATCCTGACATTTCTACTAGGGTGTGTAATCTGTTTAGAGCCTTTATTCACTGCCTTGAAGTTCCTGAAAGCAGCATGGGTAGATCAAAAAACATCTCCAGGTCTGTTTTTTAAAAGAGAAACAATGATAAAAACAGAAAAAGACATCTTGGGTGGTGGATTTTAGTATATTGCAAAGTATTCAAAGCTCTACTCCCGCTGCACGTATATAATATCTAAGCAATACTCCCCTCACCTTAAGTGCGACCGAGACAGCTCTGGCTCAATAGAAGCCTCACCAATCACTTGTAAAGCAGGCCCTCATCGTTGACCTCTGCTCTGGCTTCTTAGATGTGAAGCCATTGATTTCTGCCCAACACTCAGCTGTCCCATTCAGACCAGAGCTGTCCACATCCATCTTGCTTTAGTAGGCTCTTGTTAGTGCCCCATACTGCGCTGTATCAACACACGCACTTCACACAGGCTAAGCTATGGGACTCTTCTTTTAACTTAAAAGCGATTTCGATCTCCCGCAAAGAAGCATGGACCAGCCCAAAAGACCACGGACGATTATGGTGCATGACATGACGACATTCTGATGTGGAGGTCAGTAAGCATCTGGAAGAGTTGAGTTGGTGACCTCGGTTTCGGTCTAAGTTATATATTCTATTTAATGAAAAAAAAATGTGTAAAAATCTCCTGCCTTTGATGTGACCCGGTTTCCACCCATTTAGAACTACATCTTTGTTAAAAGACAATTACAGCTGAAGCAGAAGTTCAGAATGAAAGGATGGTGTCCTTCTCACCACCGTCACTCTAAAATGCACAGTCTGCGTTTGATAAGCATGCGTCTAACAGTTTCAGCTTGAGCCACAACCCTCCTCCTCATCACCTGCTCAACTTGTCCTTCATTAGACCGTCACTTCAGCTTCCACCGCAACCAGAGTCTAGGAAGAGACAGCCAAATGTCGGAGGCACAGCTACCAAGAAGTAGAACTATGCCTAACAAGAGACGTTCACTCAGCACTTTCATACCTGCTGATTCAAGGGCAACCACGTGACTTGTCAAATTGTCAGAGCGGGCTTTACACGACGATGGGCAGGTGAGCAACAATAACGTAAGCAGCGACGTATCATTCTTTCACACGACACCTCGCCTGACTGAGATTTGGGCTGGCTTGCAAAATACAGCGGTCCCTTGTTGATCACGGGGGTTATGCTCTAAAAAATCTTACATCTTTGAAGGAGCAGCTGTATGTTTTGAGGCTATAGAAACTCTCATACACACTTTATGCACTTTTCTAACGACCTGAACTCACGACTGCTGAAGTGCAATCGCAGAGATATCACACGTGAGAGCCGACACTGCGCTAAGGGATACGGGAAGTACTACATATCTGATATTTACTGTTATCAGTACTACTACAGTACTACATATCTGATATTTACTGTTATCAATACTACTGTATTATTTCATATCTGATCATTCTGCCTCCACCGTCACTTTACCTGTTGATATCTTACTGTATTATTCATATCCATCTGATAATTCTCCCATTCAAGTCACTTTACCTGTTGATATTATTTCTGATGTTTATTCTGCTCATATTCTCATATTCTCCGCTGCTAATGTATAATATAGACATCTGTAAATACTCCGAACCAAGTGCAATTGTAGCCCAGATTTTCTTATTCTATTTTATTTTATCTTAAATTTATTGTCTATTATCTTAAATAATAGACTTTGATGTGTGCGTCTGAGTCTTATTTCCTTTCTCTGCTGTAATGTGCAACGATGACACTGAAACTTCTCCACTGTGAGACTAATAAAGGTTTATCTTAAGACCTCGCTAATCCTCTGACCAAATCGTACAAGCCACAAATGTATTCTTCTGACTTCACATAAAGGTAACTGCCATGTTACATTACCGGTTGTATGATGTTGTTGGGGTATACACATGGCGCATGAGAAGCACGCTGTAAAAAAGTACACCAAATTGACCACAACAAAATCTGTGAAACCTTGAGGCAGCAAAAGGTGGAGAACGTCACCGCGCCATATCGACTAATGTGCCTAAGATCGTTCATCGGTAAATTACACTGAAACAAAGAGAGTGGGAATGCACGTGTGTTTATCATTTCGACCGACCATTCTGCGAGCGCGGAAGGCAGGTGTTGTAGTTAGTTGTGGGTGACGTCAAGAGTTTGGGTCGAACGGGAAGGTTGTAGTTTGGCAATGACGAAAAATGCGATAGTAAAGTAATCCGGTCTGGGTCTATCAAGAAACTGAAGCCGGAGCAAGAGGAATGTTTAGCAAATGTAATCGCAGCAAAGAATTGTGGCGCTACTCCCCACGGGCTCCGTTAGCGGCAAAGGAGATGGCTAAAGCTAGGCTAAATGCTAAATGCTAACAACACACTCGGGCTCATTACAAACGTCACGGTAAACTCAGATCCAATTGTTTCAATTTGCAAAAGGAGTTAACCCCTCCCACCTGTTCACGGAGTCAATGCAACACCTCCAGACCTTAGTACGAAATGTCATTTGTACTATGGTGTGGTACGACCAGGCTATCCAATAGAGCAAAGAGGATTTTTTTTTTCCTGGTTTGGTTGGAACATGGCCCATAATCACAGCCCAATGGATCAGTTTCAGACTCACATTCTAACCACAATCACCACAGTGAGGATGATGTAGTCAGACCAGTGTTTCTCCTGGATGTGCTGCAAATAGTAAACAGGTTTTTGTAAAAAATGACAAAAACATGATGCTCTAGAGTCAAGTCTGCTCTTTTTAGGAAGCAAAGACTCTTATAAACTTGGGTGAAAAGGACAAGAGTTTTTCAAGAACATAAACCAAATGTAGTCTCCATGAATCAGACCCAAATATGCTCCAAAGTGCCGTGCCCTCGTCCAGCCTTGTCCAGCACCAGGAGATCCCGGTAGATTCATGGTTTTATGGTTGAATGAGTTGTGGTCGGCGAAGTAACTGAGGAATTTCACACCTAATTTCCCGAACAAAGTGAACACTGCCAGATGCGGCTCGTTCAAAAACCGCAAACAGCACGAGTTACAAGGGTATAGTCAATCAAAGTAATGATCAATTTAGATTTGGTTTGGTACAGCTGCTTGGAAGCATTAGACTATTTTATTTTATTATTTTTGCCCCTTCAACAGAGAATAATTGTTTTGGCATTTCAT